CTTAAAAAATTTCGGGGGCTACTTTTATGACTTTCGGGGGGCTTTTTTTGGCATTTCGGGGGCTGATTCACCCCGAGCCCCCGTGTATTTCCTCCCTGATACGGATAAGTGAGCGCCTTGATTGGTCCACTTCTAACTCGTGTTTTTAGTCCTTCTTTCTTTCCCTTTTCCTTTCCTTTCTTTTTCTTTCCTTTCCTTTCTTTTTTTTCAAAGAGGGGGGGGGGCGGGTCCGTCGCCCCCCGTATGTCCACGCCTGACTGACACCCACATAAACTAACCTTATTTATTACCGAACAAAAATAAAGAAAGAGCCCCTCGACACCATAGGTCTAAGTAATCAGCTAGTTGCTACCCCCCCCCCCCCCCCCACCAAAATAAACTTTAAAAATGAATTTTTTGTTCTAATTTGATACCAGTGATTTACAGATGCTGCTGAAACGGCCTAATTTTCCGGGATTTTTCCACACTTTTTAGGAAATTATACTTTTTATGCGTTTGTGGGAGAATGACAAATATCAAAATTTACAGTCAGGCAAGAAATGTGCTTATTTACTATTTAGAGGACTACTACGGCGGGCTGGGGGCTCAAGCCCCCCCCCCCCCCCCCCCACACACACACTTTTGAAAAAGTTTATTAAAGAGAATTAAATAGAAAGAAATAGAAAAGAAAGTATGCTCATGTGACCGTAATTAAATGCCCATATCCCTGAGCTTCCGGGGCTCTGCCCCCTGGACCAAACCTTGGGACCTAAGGCTGGCCCCTGGATGCTAATCTGACCTCAATTTTAATGCCTAAAACCCCTGCGCTTCCGGGGAATCCGCCCCTTGGACCATACGCCAAATAGTGACCTGCCAGTGTCATGAATAAGGTATTAAAATATGCTCATCTGACCGTAATTAAATGCCCCTACCCCCTGAGCATCCGCCAATTTGTGCTACGCTCTACCTTATCTTAAATACTCTAGCCTCCCCCACTCACTTTCAACCCCATTTTTAATCACTTTTATTTCCCATTTAACTCCTTCATTAAACCTCGAAACGCCCCCAAATACTTGGAGCGGGGCTTGTATCACGAATATATACTAGTAGTGAGTTGGTTGATGTACGAAGCCACGTACAAAAGTATAATCGATTACAACAGTTGTGGGGCCGATATCACGAGTATGCCCATTTGCTTTTAAAAAAATTGTAGAGTTATTATTATGTAATTTCTAGAAAAAATGTCAACCACATGATTTACAATGAGTCTAAATACATTGATTTGCCGAGTTGCTTCCTTTTGTCAAATATACACGTAAAACAATGGGGGGACAAAATGTGCGGATAGCAAACCGCACGGATCGTCCCTCGGACGATCCGTGCGGGTGACGGACGATCCGCGCGAGCAGAAAACCCGCATATTATGTCCGACGGACAAACGAAACTGGTAGGACAAACGGCGCGGTCACACCGGCCTTTACCAAGCACATACACAAACGCAAACGCTCTCTCTGTCTCTCTCTGTCTCTCCTCTGATCTCTCTCTCTCTCTCTCTCTCTCTCTCTTCTCACACTCCCATATATACCCTCTTTTTTGTTTAATCTCTTTTTGTTTAATCTCACACGCCCTAAGTGGTAATGGACACGATGATGTGGAGTGGTATTTATTGTTTTCTGGCATATTGTACATAACTTGCGCATTGGCGGATAGGGGGTCATTGGGTACAGAAAAGAAAAGTATATAAATTAGGGAAGCATGAAAATAATTTTTGAAACCAGTACTATGTCTCGATCAAGTTAACAATTATTACGTACCAACTTACGACTGACGAAAATAATTTCAATCTATTTCTTGTCATTCCGTCCTTAACATTAAAATTCAAACAGTGCAACATGTGTGTCACTACCATCATCATCATCATCATCCTTACTATCATCATCACTATCATCCATCATCACTATCATCCATCATCATCATCATCATCATCATCATCATCATCATCATCATCACCCATCATCCATCATCATCATCATCATCATCATCACCATCATCATCACCACTATCATCATAATCATCACCACTATCATCCATCATCATCATCATCAAGAAGCAAACCAGAAAGTTGTATTGGGATTATGTCAATAATATGTTTTCCTCTAATGATAACAGACGAACATTTTGGTCATTTGTATCTAAAAAAGAAGCAGAATGCTCCACCTCCCAAATTTGTTGTGAATAACAGTTCCCATTCTCAACCGTCTGAAATATCAAATGCATTTAATGATATGTTCTCTCTTGTGTTTAACCCCTCTGGGTCAGTCAGTGATGAACCACCATCTGGTTCATTACCAATTCCACAGCTTTCCTCAATACAGGTACAGGTTCATCAGGTAGGCAACCGCCTTCTTCAGCTCTCAGCATCTAAAGCCCCAGGACCTGACGGGGTTCTTCCCGTCATACTGAAGAACTGTGCCCTAGAAATATCATATCCTCTCGTCCATCTCTTTAACATATCCCTCAATACAGGCAAATTACCAGATTCTTGGCGTCGGTCAAACATTACTCCTGTCTTTGAGAAGGGTGACAGATCAATCATGTCAAACTACAGACCAGTTGCCTCATTTCTGTTATATGTAAGGTTCTTGAGCAAATTGTTTCTTCTTCCATTCTCGAACATGTAACAACATTTGGTCTCCTCAATCCAAACCAACACGGTTTTACATAGAAACGCAGTTGCGTCACCCAGCTTATCAATGTCCTACAAGCTTGGTGTACAATTCTTGATAAAAATCGTCCTCCTCGTGTAGACGCAGCTTTCCTAGATATGTCCAAAGCATTTGATAATATGCCTCATCACATCCTACTGTCTAAACTATCTGCACAGTTTAATGTCACAGGTACTCTCTGGAAATGGATTAAGTCCTTCCTCGTTGGACGGATACAGCGTGTAATTTTTCAGGGTTCCTCTTCTCCCTGGGTTGATGTGACTTCCGGAGTGCCCCAGGGTAGTTGTTTAGGCCCTCTCCTTTTCAACCTTTTCATCAATGACATTTCCCTCCCCCTTTAATCTTCTAAATCTGTTATGTTTGCTGACGACATTCTGATGTTTCGTACGGTGCAGTCACCCAATGATGAAGAGAGGTTTCAAACTGATTTGCAACTCCTACATGAATGGGCCGAGCAGAACCAAATGGCCTTCAATCCCTCCAAATGTAAAATACTCCATGTAACTAGGAGCAGGAATCTGCAACCCCCGATATACAAACTCAACACATCTGACCTCTCATGTGCCCCTTCATAATTATGTTTATCTAGGGGTCACAATTTGTGCTAATCTAAAATGGAACACACATATTGATAATATCGTCAAAAGGGCCAACCGACTCCTTGGGTTCATTAGAGTAGTGGCAGGTAAAGCTTCAACACAAGCCATTTTCTCTCTATACAAAGCTCTCATTCTTCCATATACGGATGTCCATGCAGCCTGGCATCCTCACACCCTCAAACAAGAACAGCAATTAGAACGCGTTCAGCGCGCAGCCACACGTATTGCCCTTAAACAATTAACGGAGAGGCGACATGTCCTATGGAGATAGACTCACTACTCTTCACTGGTCAAGCTTATCTTCCAGGAGAGACTATATCTCCTTCGTTCATTCACTTTCAAATGCCTCAGTGGTCTCACCCTTTATGAGGCTCTTACTGAATCCACCCAGATCAATTCCAGGCGGCAAGAGGTACTTACATTCCGCCACCTTCCTTCTAGGACACAGGCACTTTTTCTTTCTCCATCTCGCCACTTTCCAAGACTGTGGAACAACCTTCCCACAGATATAAAAGATACTGCTGTACTTAATTCTATTTCATCCTTCCTTTCAACACTGAAACAATCTCTTTTCACTGTTCATTGAACTCATTTAATTCAATGTAAAACAATGTATTGATAATTATTAATGGTAATATTTTTCATACTCGTGTCTGATTTCAAATTATGTACATTTCTCTCAAGCTGATCGTCACTTAAAATTTTACTGTGCCTTTTTGGAAACCCTAAGATTAATTATACATCTTACCTAGATCATATCTGACTAATTTGTTTATTTTGTCACTTAGAAATAATATCAATATTGCAAGCTCATTTCTTCGTTCCGTTCACATATTAGGCTTCAGATTACAATTGTATTCATTTCATTTTGAAAGTTAGAAATTATTGTTAAGCATTTTATACCATTATGTAACTTTCCTTCCCAATAATAATCATATCAAATGTTTCTAATGTAAGCACCAGGATATTGATTTGAAAGTTTGTATATTTATGTGATGAACGTAAAGCCATTGTAATGTCATAATAATGTAATGAAAGTAATCAAGGATATAATAGTAATTGCTCCAACTATTGTTATCCTGATATATATATATATATTTATTTTCTCATATTGTGAATTTTTATTCTGTTCTTTACTCTTAATTTTCCAGGATGCAAACTGTGGGGGGTGACATGCTTTCGAGTAATAGCAATTCAAATTGCTTTTGTCACCCCTGACCAGCAGATTGTATCCTTCTCTCTATCTCCTCTCCACTTTCCTAAAGCTGTTTGAATGTATTATGAAATGTCTATGTATTATCTGATTGTTATACTCACTGTATGTTTTCCGATTGGTCAAATAAATAATAATAATAATAATAATCACTATCATCATCATCATCAATATCATCATCACCATCATCATCATCATCATCATCATCATCATCATCATCACCATCCATCATCATCATCACTATCATCATCATCAACATCCATCATCATCAATCATCATGAATTACATTTTACCAACCTTTTGATGATATCTTATTATACTGGAAAGTTGTTTGCTGAATGGAAAACAAAAATCTATAATAATTATGTTACAAGCTTGTGTATGAGCTAAATAAACACCACAATATTTTCCTGTAACCCCCTTAGCAGAAATTAATATTGTCATGATAGAACTCTGGACGAAAAACACAATAGATAGCAGATGTGTGGATGTTATATGTTTATTTCAAATTTACACATAAATATATTATGATAAATGTTGCTGTCACTATAATATCCCTTTCGAATAAACATACATAAATCAGACAGCTGTAAAGCTGCATCTATTCATATTTATGTCTTGCTTACTTTATGTACATGTGACACAAAAAGTTGTGTTCCATCAGTTTGTGTAGTTTATCTGCACTGAAATGACGTATAATATACCAACAAATTCATCACATTTACATATTTAACAATAACAGGGCTTGGCAATATCATTTTACATGGCAACACAGGAGATGTATTCATGTCTCATACATGTATCTTAACTGTTTGCATTGTACATTTCAGCCAGGACATTATTACTAATTACATTCTATTCAATTCAAGTCAGGTACTGGGATATCATAACGATGGGATCAAAACTCATAGCTGATTCATATAATGTCCAAATCTTTCACAACATGTATAAATCACTTTTCCTTGCACATATTGGATATTGGTACAAATCTTATAAATATTCATAACATAAAGTACACCAGGGCCCCGTCCTACAACGAGTTGCGACTGATCCAAATCAATTGCAAGTCCTCCAATCAATCGCAAGTTTGCAGTCTCCTATCTCTTAATATGTACATAATTGTGATTGATATCAATCGCCAATAAGTTGCGATTGATATCAACTCTTTAAAACGAGGCCCAGGCATGATATTTTGCAGATATTGCATAAATTTGAGCATTTTGATTTGTTGTACATGTAGGTGTTTTTTTTTCTGTTTTTTTTTTTTTGGGGGGGGGGGGGGGTTGAGAGGGGTGAATGAATCCAGAACCTTCTTGCCATAATGATATATTTGTAATACTGAAAATACGCAAGTGTTCCATTGGATCAGTAACGCATTCTTTATCAAAACTACAAGTCATTTCACATGTAAGTCTGCAACGTAGCACTACTCAGAGATAAACAAATTTGAACCAACTGAAAGGGCATAATCCATTAGTCAAACTTAATGGTAGTAAAGCCAAGTTTGCATGATTAACAATTTCAGCACATTATATGAATATTGAAATGCTCAACGTAAACAAATAATAATATATGAACCAACAAAGTCAGAATTTCCCGCATGATGTTTTGATCGAGGCCACAGGCACAGGTTGAAGTATAACTTTACGTTGGAAAGTCTCAATTTGGAGGTGAACATATGATGATATGCATTCAATATTTGTTATTTAAAATTTTAGGGTATTTTTGATCTCTTGCACTGTTTTTAATCAAGTCATCACTTTCAGTGTTTCTTCTGTATAGCCTAATATATTATATGTGTGCAGCTTTATACGACAATGGATACGCACCGGTTGATTCCATATGCAGTATGGTACCCTTTTGTATGCAATATACCACGCAAAAAAGATTGTTATATTGCATGCTCATGCACATTTACAAGCTGGTGAGAGTCATGTGATAGTTTCTCAGCCAATGGGATGCTTTCCAGCAAATACATGTGTATGCATACATTTGTATGCAATATACTGCGCAAAAAAGGGTTGATATACTTCTACTTCTACTTCTACGACGATACTCAGCAGGATCCATAAGTCAGGATTTAGTGCTGAGGAATAAACTATCTAGTTCTTGGTCTAGATGCTTGGTGGAAGCGCTCCCTTGAAGCCCTCCAGTGAAGTAGCGTCAATATAATATATTGCCTACGCGTGCATTATGTAACACATTTACAGTGGCACATGATTCGGGTACATGAAGCTTCTCTGTATATAAGATGCTCTTTCACAAATACACCATTTTATAAATAAATCTAGAGTGGAATGTCTCATAAGATTTGAGGGGCGACACCTATCCTCGTTAAGATGTTTTCCGGCATGCAGAAGACTGGGTTGACGGGTTTGATACTATCCGAGTGGTTCCCAAGGAGAGAGAGACCGGCGATACCAAACAGGGTATGGAATGGATCCACCTAACGATGGAAGATGAAGAGTACGGAATAAGATTTAATGATGATGATGATAGTAATGATAATAATAATAGTTATAGGAATAATTATAATAGTAATAGTAATACTGTAGTAATAGTATTAGTAAAAGTAATAATATTAATACTAATAGTAATAGTAATAATAATAATAACTTTAATAATAATACTGATACTTATACTACTATACTACTACTACTGCTGCTACTACTAATACTAATACTACTACTACTACTACTACTACTACTACTATTACTTCTAATAATAAAGATGATGATAATGATGATGATGTCCATCATGCTGTGATGCTCCTGGTGCTCTAACAATATTACCCTGTTAAAAAACGAGCGACAAAATTTGTAGCGCTCTTTCATATCGGCTACCCTATTACCGGTACACCTGGGTGGAGAGTGGCAAATCTGGACTAATGTTTTGCCAAATGAAAAGGCTGCAGGAATATGTATCAAAATTCTTTTATGTGTAAATGAAATGCATAGCTAGTGGGGTAAGGAAAAAGATAATGTTGTTGTTGTCATCCATGAGTAATATGAAAAGGAGACAGAAAATGCCCTTCACATTCATCAGTTAAATTCATTTTTAGACGGTTTTATGTGTGAATGATTTATCAAAATTCTCTTACCATGTCACCGGGTCGATCTGCAAAGCCTCCTGTTTCGTCATCTTGGCAAGCCAGAATAAAAGCGGTGAGTTTCTTGCTGTCTATCCAGTGCAATCTATTGATGATCTTCAGTGACGCCAGGACCCACCATGAATAGCAAACATCGGGAAGCTTCTCCGGTCGACCTTAACGAACGAAAGAAGACAGAGATAGAGTAAAACTGATGAGTTTCTATCCAATGCAATCTATTGATGATCTTCAGTGACGCTAGGACCCACCATGAATAGTAAACATCGGGAAGCTTTTCTGGTCGACCTTAACGAACGAAAGAAGACAGAGATATAGAGTAAAACTGATCAGTTTATATCCAATGCAGCCTATTGATGAACTTCAGTGACGCTAGGACCCACCATGAATAGCAAACATCGGGAAGCTTCTCCGGTCGGCCTTAACGAACGAAAGGACACAGATATAGAGTAAAACTGATCAGTTTCTATCCATTGCAAACTATTGACGATCTTCAGGGACGCTAGGACCCACCATGAATAGCAAACATCGGGAAGCTTTCCGGTCGACCTAAACGAACAAAAGGACACAGAGATAGAGTAAAACTGATCAGTTTCTATCCAATGTCATCTAATGATGATCTTCAGGGACGCTAGGACCCACCATGAATAGCAAACATCGGGTAGCTTCTCCGGTCGACCTAAACGAACGAAAGGACACAGAGATAGAAAGTAAAACTGATCAGTTTCTATCCAATGTAATCTAATGATGATCTTGAGGGATGCTAGGACCCACCATGAATAGCAAACATCGGGAAGCTTCTCCGGTCGACCTTAACGAACGAAAGGACACAGATATAGAGTAAAACTGATGAGTTTCTATCCAATGCAATCTATCGATGATCTTCAGTGACGCTAGGACCCACCATGAATAGCAAACATCGGGAAGCTTCTCCGGTCGACCTAAACGAACGAAAGGACACAGATATAGAGTAAAACTGATGAGTTTCTATCCATTGCAAACTAATGATGATCTTATAGGACCCACCATGAATAGCAAACATCGGGAAGCTTCTCCAGTCGACCTAAACGAACAAAAGGACACAGGATAGAGTAAAACTGATCAGTTTCTATCCAATGCACTATATTGATGATCTTGAGTAATGCTTGCATAGGGTTCGAGCATTTCCCTGAAGAATTCTATAAAAATTTCCTCATGGCGTTTCAAAACCTCCAGAAGCATGAAAGGAGGCATTTTAGATACAAAAAAGCCATCATTGGCAATCATCCTGATGATATGCTCTTTGGAAACGACACAAACATTTCTCTGAACGACCTAAAAAGATTGAACCAGACAGATATTATTGAAAGGGAACTCTTACAACAAGTTGCTGTCGCTACTAGGTGAGAAACCACTTTTATCATGCATCTCGTTTCCAATTCAATTTACAACAAAATAAATCAAATCTTGCTCACAATTATGCACAATAAGGAGAAATTGTTCTTGGGTAAGAGATCGACTACTTCTCTGAACGACCAGAAAAGACTAAACCTGACAGATATTCAAGTAATCCCTGACACCAAATTACGATGCTGTTGCTACTAAGCGGGAAACCACTTTTATCATGCATATCCTATCAAATTCACTTGAGAATAAAACGATCAAATCTTGCTAACATAATGCACAATAAGAAGCAATTCTCCTTGGGTGATAGTTTCCTATTCCGATTTGGGAGAAGTTGCTGGATTTGATGTGCAGGGGTGATAGTGAGCACTAAAAAAAAAATAGGTTTTTTGTTTTCCCCTCAACCACGCCCCCCCCCCCCTTGAGTAAACAAAAAAAAGAGGATTCGCGGGGGAAAAAATGGCTTCTAACATTCCCCCCTTTTGAGTGAGAAAATTTGGGGAAAAATAGGGAAGAATAGAGAAAATAAGAGGGAAATCGGGAAAATCAAGATAAAATAGGGAAGAAGAAAAAATTTGGTAAAAAATCGGGAACAATTAAAAAAATTGGGAAACCGATTTAAATCGGGTTTTTATCAGGCCTGGTTGTGGGACATTGATGTCCACGAAGGTATCGTCCTAATTAATAAGTAATTGCAAGGGAAGTAATTTTCCAGGGAAGGAGGGGATAGCAGTTTGGGGACTAGTCATCTTTATATGGTTCATTCCATCTAGTTTTCTCACCATTTAGCCCTCCAGACGGGAGTTGTCTTTCACACAGCCACCAGCCTAGTAGATCAGCATTGACATAATGAAGATTGTTGGTCACAGACAGGAACCCGACACAACAGTAGATCTGTGGGGCAAGGGTCAAAATGAAAAGACAGACATGAATATTCAAGAACACATAAGCATGTGTTCTCATGGGTACGTTGACATCATTCATGTATGTTTTTGTATGAACCCATTGACTACTGAATTCAGTCAAACCTGTCTATAGCGACCGCCCAAGGGAAACACAAAAGTGGTCTTTGTAGACAGGTTCCTTTAATACATGTTTCATTGAGAAACCATTTTCAAAGGAAACAAAAAATGTGGTCTTTGTAGACAGGTGGTCACTAAAGCAGGTTTGACTGTAATTCATTACCATAGGCTTCATAGAGTATAGCCACTTGGTTCCCGTAGACAAAGGGCGAACAGATATTATAAATCGCTAGGAGTGGCCCTCACTTTTACAATCAACAGGTAACAGGTCTTATGTATTAAATCCTCTGCACTTTCCACCAATTGTCCTATAAGGAAAAGCCCTCATCATAAATTTTCCCTCACCCAAAGACTCTCTGAGAGACTAGGGATTATTTCTTGGTGGGAAATCTGATTCGCTGTGTCTAAGACTAGTACACTCATTAATAGTATTTCCACCAAGTCAGGGGAGTGTTTCACAAAGACTAATATCGACTTTAAGTTGGACTTACATGTAACTATGGCAGGCCGTTCATGCCAATGTTTGCTCTCACCATTTACTGGCATTGGTCTCTTGGGACGTACAAATTGTGGTCACAAATCTACATAATTTACTTTTTTTGATAGTTCATTATTGAAGGAAAAAATATTACCCGGTATCTCAAGATCATAATTGAGAGACCAATGGTGAGAGCAACCATTGGCATGAATGGCCTGCAATAGTTAAGTCCATCTTGAAGTCGATCTTAGTCTTTGTGAAACACCCCCAGTGTCAGAGAATTATGACATACTGCACATGGACACTATCAATCATATCCCTATAAAAAAGTCCCTGATGTATCAATTAAGAACTTGTCAAAAAACAATTTTTATTTTACAAGTTTTAGGGAAATAAATCACCCGAACAATAAATTGTACATTTTTAAAAAACAGAAGATCATTCCACATCACCTTTATCGTACATGCAAATGGTGCACACCCAATTTTATGGGAGTAAGTTGACTGCACTTTTATCATTATTTAGAACGCAATATCAGTATTTAAACTCTATACCCAGTTTGTCCACTATACTAGCGATCCAATCAACATTTCGTCCAATCATCATACGTAATCTAATAACCAGTAGGGCCTATAGCAATTTCGTCTATTGGACCAAATGACGCTTTAACAATGATATTGTGTCCTCACCTGACCAGAATGTGACTCTGACCCCGGCCTGACCCCGAAACCTCCGTCAAAGTTCATACATGACACAACGTATTGCACAGCCTTCTCTATGTCAGGCACTGCATCTAACCTCTTCTGCTTAGACAAAGATGGAGAGAATGTGAGAAACAGGAGGATGGAGGATGGAGGATGGAGAGTGAGATTGAGAGAGACATTAAGAGAGAAAGAGACATTATTAGAGATAGAGATAAGAGATAGAGAGAGAGGAAGAAAGAGACATGAGAGAGAGAGAGAGAGAGAGAGAAAGAGACATAATGAGAAACAGAGAGAGAGACAGAGAACGAGAGAAAGACATGAGAAACAGAGAGAGAGAGAGAGAGAGGGACAAGAGTGAGATACAGAAATGGGAGAATGGGGACAGAAAGAGAGAGAGGGTTAGAAACAGAAGAATGGGAAATGAAAAGAGAAAGAAAGATGCATAAAGAGAAAGTGAATACAACAAGAGGGAGAGAGAGGGAGAGAAAGAGAGAAAATCAAACAAAAGAAAAGGGATGGCATAGAAAAAAATGTATTACGATGATTAAAAAAATATTATGAGAGAAGAGAGAGACAGAAAAAGGGAATCAGTAATTCCTGTACAAAGACAGCCAATAGATCAATTATACTACTAAACTTTACATGTCACATACATGTTGTATATCAGAAAGTGAATGATGATATCTCCTGCACAAATCATCACATTTCATTACAATTATAAAAACAATAGAGAAAAGTTGCACCTCTCAAAACAATTTTTACAGTTCTTAGACATTTTTTCAGCACAACCAAAACTTACCAATAATGATAATGTTGCCACAGCACAGAAGGAGAATCTTGTGTCTACCTCACCTGTCGAAAGAAGAAGAAATGAAGAGAAGAGGAAAAAGAAGAAAAAAAGAAGAAGAAGAAGAAGAAGAGAGAGAGAGATCCGTTTATATCTTCAAAACAATACATTAAAATACAATCATTTTTTAGTCTGCTGTAAATTAATTTTATCAAGATCATTCCAAATCAATGTCTTCTACAATGGCATTCTATGGATTACCATTTATATTTTAAAACCAGGTAAAAAGGGTATCAAGCAGTGATGTTCTAATAGACGTTTGAAAAATCCTTTAAAAGGACCGGCGTTTATGTTTAAAACAATTCGCAAAAATAATGTAGGTGATCACTTGATCATTTTATCGCAATTTGAAGATAAAAATCGTTAACATCCATGAATGGTTAATCCCATATATTAGATGGAAGTTTACTCATATCTCCTTAATATCTTTAGCACAAAAATATCTGAGGTGAAATGGACATAACAGCATTATCACTGAAGAGGTGTCATGGTCGAGTGGTTACGTCGCCGGACTGTCAATCTCAAGATCCGCAGTTCGAGTCCCGCTGCAACACTAATGTCTTTTGGCAGGGCATTGATCAACATTTGCCACACTCAATCCAGGTAATGTAAATGGGTACCTGGCAGGAGTTAATTCCTTGAAATGCTAGAGCGCCGTAATGGCAGCACAGCTAAAGCCGGGGTAATAATCTCCAAGTTTGGAAGCGCTTCTAAGAGACTTAATTGTAATTAGCACTATATAAAAGCTGAGTATTATCATTATTATTATTATTAGCAGATTATATTTTCATTTATTTATCTACTAAGTATTCTCTAAACAGGGTAGCCCGATCAGTAGTTAGAATATTGTTAACTTGGGTGCCCTCTCTTGAGTGAGAGACATCTAATGATAATAATTATATTTGCTTATATAGCGCCTAACACTTACTTTATCAGAAGTCTCTAAGCACTCTACAATAATGCCACATAATTACCCTGGCTTTAGCAGAGCAGGTGTCACATGCTCTGCATTTCAAGGAATAAATCCCAACCAGGTCCCTATTTACTTCACCTGGGTGAAGTGTGGCAAATGTAGATCATTGCTTGCCAAAGGACATTAGTGCCGCGGCGGGACTCGAACCGTAGACCTTGTGATCGACGACACTGAAAGAAGCATCTCATAAAATGATATCATTCAAAATCTAGGCCGTGTTGCCTTTGACAGGTCGTCTTACGTACCCCATTTATCTCCAACAAATGACCCGTCTTCTTGTTGCAATCCTGTGACATACTCCACGACCTTGTCAACGTCTATGGAATCCAGAGCATCGTAGATGGCTAAGATCTAAGATATGATAAAGAAGGTGTATGAGAGAAACTAGAAGGGAAGTGGAACCAAACAAAATGTGATCATGCTCAGATCATATGTGTGTTTTTTTGACTGATGTAATGAAAAAAAAATCCCATTGGTTAGAATTGGAAATGTTTAATTATGTTAACAGGACATCAATGAAAAAAAGCTTTGCTGATTTTATTGTTTCTTTTTTATACTGTATAAATATGTCAAATAAATAACAAATATCAACACTGCATTGATATTTATCTCTCATTAAAATTATGCACATGACAGGATGATTTCAAACAGTTTCTTGGCTTATTCATGCTTAACTGTTTTTTTTTTTAAACAGTAGATTGCAGGACCTGATGCTGTTTTGGAACATTGTGAATGAGTGTAAAAGTTATATAAAAGTTGTTTATTATTATTACCATTATCATTTCATTTTATCACTATTTTGTTTGTTACTACATGTATGTCAGCAAATAAAGGGCAAGACACATTGGTAATATTGGATATTTATATAGTGCTTGTATCCATCAGGCAAGGTTCTTAGCTGGTAATGTGATGTGAAATTTATAATCCTTATTTTTGTGCACAAATTTGCAGTTTACAACAAAATTAATACCTGTAGTAATTTAATTTACATTGCTTCAAGTTCATTTAATATACATGTACATTTTTATTTTATTATATCTATGTAGAAATTTTAATGCAGTCCTTACTTTGTGTTATGTCATATTCTTCTTTGCCGTTTACTTTTAATTCAATATTTTCAAATATGTGTCTTTAGTTCTTCTCACTTTTCCTTCCTTTTCCTTCCTTCTTGCGCTTAGAAACATTGTATTAAGCGCTTTATAAATGTAATGTATTATTTATTTATTTATTTATTTATTTACATGGAAAAGAAGAATAATTGGTGCCAATTTGAGAAGGGAAATGCTGATTTATTGTACACCTTGGAACTCTGAATCGCTATAGGTTAAAATTGGCCGATTATTATATATATCATCTGACCTGTATTGCACTCAATGTGTAGAGAAGATGTGGGTCATGACCGATGCTGGCACCGAATCCTCCGCATTCATGCTGGCAGCTCACGGTGAATTCAATAATCTTCTGTTTGTTCATGCGGTTAAGCTGACCCAATAGATCCATGGCCGCGATACCCCAGTACATACCGCTCATCCTCAGGTATTCAGTCATCACATACTCCTGTTAATTCAAATCAAATTGAGAAAAACTCAATCTTGTCTTTTTATTCAACTGCCTATAGTAATTTCACTACATTAGGAGCTATAAATTAATAACAGCAACAACAGTAAACTTAATAATTATAATAATAATAATGATAATAATGATGATAATGATAATAATAATAATGACAATGATGATAATGATAATAATAATAACAATTACAATAACAATAAGACTAATAATAAAAACAAAAATAATAACAACAATAATGATAAGATCATCAATTCTTATAAGGCCCTTTATATATGTTACATTGGTACACATAATTTTTCATTCACTTGTAAAGTTTTTCATTCACTTGTAAAGTATTTCCTTACCAGAATGACAGCAAAATATCTTCATTTTGAATTCAATGCTTTTAACAAATTTAATACTGAAAATGACTGAAAAAAGAGTAATATGAACAGGAGAAAAAAAATCATAAATTTGTTTGGAAGTTGACGTGCAAAAAAATGCAAATAAATTATTTCTTACATAATCATCTTTCTTCGAGCTATAACTGGTTATGTATGTAACATGTTTGTAGAAGAAGACCTCCTTTGGTGCAGTCGGCTTCAAGGTGACATCTTTGATTGGAGTACCCTGTATATAAAATAAATAAAACAGTTCAAAGTCACAAATGAGAGGTTGGCATTTAAAATTATTATTTATCTTTTTTCTTCAACTTAATTCACAGTCTGGAATAAATGTCATCAGTGAGCCCCAAATGATTTGAATAATCATTTGGGTATTTGCTGTTGTTTTGTTCGTTTGTTTGTTGTTTTTATTCAGGTTACCCCTCTCTCCAGAATTAATGTGAAAAGACAACATTTGTTGTATTCATCTGTAAATTCACCTTGTTATTTGGCCACTTTTCACTTTTCGGCATTATTACAAAGACACTGAAAGAAGCGAAATCTGATAGCAATTTGAAGGGCAATCCAACCCTTGTAATGAGCTCATTTGTCTGATGATAGCAGAAAAATAAGAGAAACAAAATTAAAGGGAACCAAAACCTTCATACTAAGTTACTTTTATTGTAAAGTTTAAGATATTTGAATAAAATCAGTGAAAATTTGAACAAAATCGGGCAAGGAATAAGGAGGTTAAAGCTTTTTGAAATGACTAGTCACTAGAGGGCAAGTAGAATATCATTTTGCATTGATTCTATACCTTGCTTTCAGGGGAGTAGATTATCTCAATCACAAGAAGGAAAAACATGAAATTTGATGTACAAAAGGCATGGAGAGTTGTCCACAGATGATGTCATCAAAATATCAAATTGAATATCGCCCTCTAGTGACTATTCATTTCAAAAAGCTTTAACTTCCTTATTCCTTGCCCGATTTTGTTCAAATTTTCATTGATTTCATTCAAATATCTTAAACTTTACAATAAAAGTAACTTAATATGAAGGTTTTGGTTCCCTTTAAGAAAGTATGAAATAAATTGGACCAAAAATAAGAGAATTATGAATGTTTGAAATATATCGTCACTATAGCTAGATGCGAATCTCAAATTGGCAATTTTGTCAGTGGATTGTGACGTAGTCAAGGACAACTCTCCTGTTTGTCGTTTACAAAAATATTTGTAATGTCTGAATTTCTCTAGCTCTAGAGCCTAGTGCCTTCTCCCTCTGGGGCACTACTAAAACAATATTATGGATAGCATATGATTAGGCTATACTGTACTATAGTCTGTAGGTCCTCTTAACCCGTTGACTACTGAATTTTATAGGTCCCATAGGCTTAACACAGGGACCACCAGGTTCCCGTAAGCAAAGGGTTAAAAGAAAAGACCCTCCCGAATCATACAGATTGAACAAAATTACATTTTGGTCATTTTGATAATCCTGTGGTAATGCGACTAAGCCTAGGCTATAGCTGGGCTCTTTTTCTCGCCAATAGTATCGATTTCACGAGATACTAGCTAGTAAGCTCTTTGTGAAATGGTTTAGGAAGATCAGAGACATATCCATAGTTGGCGGATAAAGTTATGAATGTCTTGTTGTTGGTTTCTAGGAATGAGCCCCTGGGGCCCGTTCCTAGAAACCATCATAAGTCTAACTTCTTGACTAGATCTATATCCCATTGAAATGTGTGTTATAATTAGCACACGTTTCAATGGAATAGTCAAGAAGTTAGACTTCTGACGGTTTCTAGGAACGGGCCCCGGGAGTCCTGATTGGCTAGTATCATAAACAATGCATGGCAACTACATTGCTAGAATTTAAACGCAAGTAAAAAATTTAGGTAGATCTAGCAGCCTAGCCTAGACTCTAAAATCTAGGCCTAGGCTAGGCCTAGACCTACTCTAAAATATAAAAATTTAAAATTAAAGACAACTAACAGCCTTTTCACACACAGCTAAAATTCTATAAACATGATTAGTATAAACGTGTTTGAAACGTGTTTAAACTAATCACGAGCCTTTCACACACAGAAATTTCGTTGCGATCGTTAATAGTTTCGTGATTAACTACTGCTCGTAAAATGCGCAGTAGTGCCATTGCGCATTGAAGGTCATGTCACATCAATCAAAGCGCACGCTCCATCCAGTTTAAACACGTTTAAACACGAATTTCCTTTCACACACAAAATGTTAGGGGCGTATGGATCGCGACTTCGTATCTATCCCAACATCGTATAAACGATGTTCACACTGGGAAATTTTGTCTATAAATATGTTTAAAACTGTTGAGTGATTCTAATCATCTCTAGACTAGATACGATGAATTTTAGCTGTGTGTGACGTGTGCATGCATCATCATCATTGATCAAATTCAGTTTAGTCTACATTCATTATCATTATCTCTTAGTAGGAGTCTTGATTAAATCATTGAAATACATTAAAAATTCAATCAAACCCTACACACGGCATTACATGGTATTATTGCCCCCCCCCCCCCCCCCCCGCGATATGACTCATTGACTGCGTGACTGTGACAGTGTGAGTAAAAATAAATAATTAGGCCTACAAATAAAACCACAGAACCACGCACAACCAGATTCTCAACGCACGGGACCAAAGGTAAAGATGCAATAAATATTTCAAACACGACTCGCGTCTCTTACACAACAACCAAAGCAATCAAACTCGACCTACACAGAGGAAGGGACAGCTTGATAAAAAACGCATCATCTTAAAAATAATAAATTACTCGTAAAAAGCAGGATCTCACCATTTCTCAAGAGTGCAAGCTCAAGGCCAGGCAACTGAAATTGAGCACTGTTGTGTTGTTGGTGACGTCATCAATTATTTACACTTTTGACAATCTGTCAGTGTCGAATGTGATAAAGAGGTGTTATTTTCCTAATTTAAGATGGCGGATACGTACAAAACTTTAAATAATGATGGGCAGCCTCAGCAAGCATCAGCTCCACCTCCACCACAACCAGAAGTGGGCTTTTGTTTCAGGCTTTTTGTGAGGATTGTTGCTTCTGTAGCTGGCGTATGTAAGTACTAAGTGAAACAATTGTCCCACATCTTCAAATTCATGTAGTCTATGTTGAGAATCTGATAATTGAAGTAACAGAAGACAGTCAGAAGTTTCGTCACTCCCGTCAGTCAGATTGTACATTTTTAATGAAAGACAGACAGAGAGAAATGGAATCTAGCAAGAAATTTTCTTACGTTTTAGAACACTGGTAGTTTTTTTAAAATTAAACTTAGGTCTAGGCCTAAAGTTTTTTTGTTTTGATTTTGATGACACTGAAGACCGATGATGATGGAGATGCAGAGGTTAACATCTACTATAATGATCACGATCATGTTATCATGATTTCTGATGATGACGATGATAAGGGTTGGTTAATGGCGATGGCAATATGACAATGATGAATGATGATCATAATTCATATTGTTTGTTGAAGACGATGATCATATTGTCTATTGAAGACGATGAATAAGATCTAGTGATGATAATGGTGGTGATGATGATGATGATTTCATGATGAGGATGATGATGATGATGGTTGATTGATTGATTGATTGATTGATTGATTGATTATGCTGTTAATTCTATTTTATTCATAGAGGATTTATGACAAGTATAATAAGAATATTAAATGTCAAGAGCTGTATTTGTAGGTATTTTCCCCGGGGGGGGGGGGGGGGGGGGGGGGGGGGGTACTCAGATTATAGTCGGACGGGGGTGTGCGGCTGAGACCTCCGAACCCATACCCACATCCAAGGGTCCTTTTGCTGAAATAGGTACCCATGTCTAAGGATTTCAAACTTCAAATATTACATTTTTTAAGCTGTAATAATACACTCCAGCAAAGCATATGGAGAGTCAACGCTAATGCATATTGACCTCTAGCACTGCACTACGCGTTAATAGGCAGCATTTAAATACATGAATAGTCAATACACTCATAACACACAGATGCACACAATCATACCGATGCGGCTGATCGGCAAGTTCGACAGTGGACTCACAATTTGATTTTTTTAATTATTCTTTCTAACATCGGAAAGTTAAAAAATGTATATTACTGCTATTTAGATCTTATTGATTGTCACTAAAGTATCGATTTTTAGTGAAATTGGTTGAGTTTTACACAGTGGTGTTTGAAATGTTGAGAATCAATACTAATAGCACAGCTTTTAATACACAGCCAGGATAGTAATGCACCTATGTGTGTCATAATACAATGGCCAATAATTTTGCAGTTTCTCGATAAAGTTCTTTATTAGTAAACTGTACCATACTACATGTAGTTTACAAGTAGTTTACACACATAAAGATGAAAACACCATGCAACATAATAATACTGTGCTAGCACCTCTAGCATCTGTTTTAATTGAAGGACTTTTCCTGTTAACGTACCCGTACACGAGCTCTCAAGCATTGGCTATATAGCTCCCTGCTTGAGCCCCGCTGCTGCCCGGCTGCTGGGCAGAGGGTACGCAGGGTATAGCTGCCGATCTTTCAGCGTGCGAAGCGCTACAAGTTTCCGGGGGTACGACCCCTATACGGGCGGATACCATACCTAGCGCGCATAATGCCATATGAGTACCCGGTATAGAGCCCATGGGGTCCTGATATATGTGGTACCCCGGGATCTAGTTGAGTTTACGAGCTACGTACGTACAACTGACTTAGAGGACGTCAGTGCGTACACCTCGTACACTGGAAATGCAATCACCGAAGGGTCCATTTATTTAGAGATGGGAGAGATTTAGGCATTTTCAATGTAGGAGCAAATCCCAAAATCCAGGAGAAAATGAGGGAGAAAAGAGGGGAAAGGAATAAATGAAAAAAGGGACCCATGTCTAAGGATTTTTTTAATGAAAAGGGGACCCATGTCTAAGGATCTTTCCTGAAAAAGTCACCCTTCCGAGCGGCACATCCCCGTATACCCAATATACGTGAGTACCCCCCCCCCCCCCCCCCCCCGGGGTATTTTCCTAACATGATGAAGATAGAGTCTGTATAGACCCTCTAGTGTAGATCTAGACCCTCTATATTGAATTTAACAATTTATAAAAGATTTAACAAGTTTGATCTGTATTCTTACGGTACTGTAATTTGTATGCCCTGACCACTGCTGTGATTTTAAAACACTTTACAAATCACCCCAAGACATGTATAGCACGAAGGAAACCTAATGTATCAATTTAACATATGGAATCTTAAAGGTAAAGACCAGTATTGGAAACGCCCCAATTTCAAAAAATGAAATGGAAGCTCTCATTACCAATCATGTGAAAGAATATGTTTTGACTAATACATGATGATAAAAAAATTGCCGGGAAACCGCCTACTAATTCATATATTTGTTAAATTTGTTTCTCTCATGGTCTGTGAGAGATATAGGGTAGTCCCATATACATCTTTCTGTGTATAGTGCTTGTAACTTTACGAAGAATGGGCCAAATTTCTTATCATTTTGATGATTCCAGAACCTTGCAGATGCTAGATGCTAGATGATCAACCTTTTCTGATCGATTCCACAACGTTTCTTTCACAATGCAATCGCATGACCTTAACTGGTCTTTACCTTTAACATTGTTGAACTTAATATTTTTTTCAACAGACAATATTTATGTCTCTTCTTAGCTCTGTTACATTCTAATAAGATGAATGATTTTTCTTGCAGTGGCCATCATTCTTGGACTGATATCTCTCATTACCGTCAAAGGCATGTGCATCGTTGCTGGGATCTATATCATGTGAGTAATACGCTTTAAATATTTTAATGTATTTTTAGTGTATGTTATATTTTTGGGGTATATATAATGTTATCATTATTATGTTGAATTATGTTGTATATATGTTATTTTGATATTGTATGCTTTTATGTATATGCACGGCCCTACGGAAGAACAGTCCGCGGGCTGAGGTTACGTAGGCCTCCGTGCTTAAATAAATAAATGAAATGAAATGAAATCACTCCGATACCAAGAGACTCGTATCATGTAACAATTCTTTCAAGGCAAGAATGTTGGGGGTTGTGGTGTCAGGACCCTATTTGAAAATTAAGGCTGTGCACAACAGTGTAATGAGGTACCCGAGTACACTCCCATGCTTTACAAGCGAATACTCGAGTATTCGGACGCCATGTTTTTTTTTGAATTTTTTTTGATTTTTTTTTTTTTTTGTTTTTTTTGTTGATTTTTTTTGATTTTTTTAAAAAAAAATTTGCCACCACCATACATACCACTGGAGCAGTATCCCAGTTCTGTCGCCGAAAACGCATGCAATTTTACTTTGAGTTGCAGTTGAAGGCGCCGATTTAATAATAATAATAACAGTGAACAATACTGTTTTAAAAACCAAAGATGGCAGAATAATCCATTTTCCTCCAAGTCCAAGCAGAAATCCAGACATTTGGTCCCAGTTTCTGAGTGGTGAGTTTGACAGTGCTTGAGTTGGGAAACATTTTTACTGACGGCACCATGCCAGCGGCCGCCGCTCACCCAGGCACGGGTAAGCGTCGGCCTGGACATTTTGCGGCCGAATATTCGGGTACGAGAAATCGTACCCGAGTAGTTGTCAACCGTGCGGGTACTCGAGCATTCGACTACCCTTCACAGCCTTAATGAAAATTGCCACATTTGCCTTTGGATGTAATTCAAAGTATGATCACAAGCTTTGAAAGATTTATGAAATTTCGCTCATAAAATTCTTCAAAGTAATGTTTGAAATGAAATGTCCAGATAACCAGCCCGTCCAGAGACATGTTGTGTGGGTGTATGTAGTTTTTCTGGGTCTCTGTGCATCATGTACAGTATAAGACACTTAACAGTTCATATGGACAATGTTTAAAGTTGTTGTATTTTATAAGGTAAGCCTTTACCACTAAATGTCTACAAATTAATACATGTACAGAAGTCTGAAGTAGCTTGCAAACTTTGTAACATAGCATTAACAATAATTCTAATTTCTAAATCTCCTCAGTGTACATGCACTTTAAAAAAAAAAGTACTGTGTTGAGACACAATGGTGACAACTTGATTACTACATTGCCCGAAGTGATTTTGAAATTGTTCTATATTTGTCTTTGCTTTGACGAGTGAGCTGAATGTCTTTGGGCATGATGGTAACCCTCTTGGCGTGGATGGCACACAGGTTGCCCAGGAGGCATTACTATTATTCATAGAAGTCAATAGGTAACTTTGTACCTGCCAATTTAACTAATCAGGGGCCTAGAAACTTAATATATTTGGTATAATACAATACTCAGAATTTACTGACTGTAATAAAATTGTCATCCATTTGTTCTTCTAAGTAGTGGTGAAGTGTGACGTCATCAAAAATCTATTTTTGGAATTTCTCAATTTTTTCTTCATTTTCAAGGCAGAGCAATATAACACTGAGTTCCTATAGGAAATCTATTTATTCAGATGGTCATATCTCAGCCAATACTTATCCTATTCAATTCATTTTCGACATTTGGACATTATTTTTGATGCTCTTTTGGAAAATGAAGAAAAAATTGAGAAATTCAAAAAAATAGATTTTTATGATGTCACAGCTTCGGTACTCTATAGCACAAACAGCTGTGATACATCGGTAATATTTTCAAATACTTACAGAGCAATTTTTGTTTGTTTTCTCTTTGCCATCAGTTTACTTGGTTTCCTGACGATTCTACTAGAAGCACCCTTTTGCTGCCAGTTCCTAGATATCACTGACAAAGTCAGCAAGTGGAGCGAGCGCAGAGCTCCATGGCAAAAGGCTCTCTTTTATCTCTTGTAAGTATCTGTGACTGTATAAGACTTGCTGCCTGGAGACCTCGTCGATTATACCTAAAAAGGCTGAACTGGGGAAATAATTCAATACTCTTTGGAAGAGCATATAGACAATTAAATGTGTGTGATATGCGCTATACAAGAACTGAATACTACTATTATTATCATTATTATCATTGTCCTCATTATTATCATTGTCCTTATAATTATAATTATCATCATCATCATCATCATCATCATCATCATCAGTATCATCATCATCAGCATCGGCATCATCATCATCATCATCATCAGCAGCAGCAGCTTCATCATCATCATCATCATCATCATCACCACCACCACCACCACCACCTTCATCATCATCATCATCATCATCACCACCATCACCACGTCCTTCTCCTCCTCCTCCTCCTCATTATTATTATTTTGTTAATTATTAATATTACTATTTTATCATCCTCATCGTCATCATCCGTCATCATTATCATCACAACAGGTGTGGTATGAGACAGCCGATTGTTCCGTTTAGCTCTTCTAAATTGTTATTTCAGTGTTTGCTTTAATAATTCATTGTATTTCTGATGTTTTTATATTGTGTGCTTTGGTCCCACCAGGTTACCCATCGTGCCGTTCTTCTTCTGCACAGGATTAAGTTCAATCTTTGCCTGTCTTGGAATCATGGCTACTGGCGTTCTCTACGGACTGGTATTCATTGGAAAGAAGTAAGATTGTCTTCTTCTGGTTTCTTTCATTCCTCTCTTTCATTCCTCTCTTTCGTCCCTCTCTTTCATTCCTCTCTTTCGTCCCTCTTTCCACGATGAGGTGCTAAAGCGGTCAAGGAATTTCTCCGTTTCGGGTACCCATTTATTTTCACCTTTATCATCCTCTTTTGGTATAGAACTTGTTGCGAGTTTGTGGCCATCCTTATTAAAAAAATATATGACTTTAAAAGGGAGTCTTCATACTTCAGCAGAAGTTGATGTTGCCTGTTAAGCCAATGAGACCTCCAAGTACCTAAACGATATTGAGTAGGGATCGAATGAGGATGTAACATCTTGCATGTACCTGGATTAGGAAAATGTGAAAATGAGATAACAATATTGTTGTGGTGTTGAGGTCTAGCGGGTATGACTCTGGACTATGGAACAACAAGATACAGGGTTTGAATTCCTGCCTTGGAAAGGAACCCCCCCCCCCTCCCCTCCCCTCAAGCGCCTTGTCAGGGTAGATCAGCTAAAGCCAAGGAATTAGTTTCACAGTGCTTAGAAACTTTATCATTTGCTATATAAATGTTTCTATTATTACCATTATGATATATTTTGTATATTCTTGATCTATTCATGTTCAGGGGTGATGCTGTTAAGAATGCTCAAAGGGCCCAACAGCCAGGAGACATGCCCTTATCAGACCCACCATCCCTGGATCCCTATGGAAGGAAAGAACTCATCCCTTGAACAGACAAAGAGGGCGCTAGACTCACCAACCAACTAATACCCAAGAAATGGCACATTCCACCCCTCCATTCCAGAGCCTCACACAATATCAGGACCATTCCGCTGTTCTCATTCCACTGGATGTTTGCCTTTATGTTTGTCATTCATGTGAAAACCATGCTCAAGTTTTAAACACAATTTTCATTGATCTATAGGACTTTTTTTGACGACAGATTTCAAGATTTTTTTAGGTAGTAAGGGAGAGCATGTGGGCTCCATTGAAGTATTATTTGTTTATTTTGGTTATGTATTCAGATTATTGTGAACATGGCTTCATTGTGAAAGTACACTATCAGAAACATTGTGCAATATATCTTGTTTCTAAGATCTAAACAGGGCATCTTTCAAAATCAGTATGAATTGGTTGAAATTAAATTGATGGCTATATAAACTCTATACTCTAGTTTGAGTGTAGATTGATTTGTTTGCAATGCCCCCCCCCCCCCCCCCCCCTCAAAAAAAGATAAGTCAAACAGGTAAACAATGTATCTTTGACAAGGTTTTCTCTTTTGCCACATGTGCATGTTGTCTATTCTATAAACTAGTTTTTATTCTTTCACAATGGCTAACAAATCATCATTTTCTCACATTACCTGAAAACTTTCATTTAAAAGAAAATGATATGTGCACTTCCTTTAAATGTTACCACAATGTGTATTATATTTTGTGTTCCTAGCGATATTGAAAAGCAAGGTGCTTTAACTAGTAACCGAAATATCAGAGAAACATATCAGGGTGGACCGTGGATCACCATGAATCACATAAAACTATCCAGACGGTTACAATTGTTTTGAAAGCCATTGAACTAATTAGGGGCAGCAAATATAGCTTTTCGTAGGAATCTACTTGTCATGCGACTAGCATCATCAGGACTTTCTCATCATATCCGTATTGCATTAGAAATGGAAGAATCAAGTTATAGCTTGTTGTAATTGCTGTCATACTAGAAATTATTCCTTGCAACTCATTTTTTTAGATATAGAGAAAGTGGGCATTTGGATTTGGACAAAAAAAAATTGATTTATGATGAATAGAGTCATAGATGTTTGTTTGTATGAAAAAAGGCATGTGAAGATTAAGGATTTATGGTAAATATAATGTAAATCCATTTTGTTTCCCCTTCTATTGGTAAGAGGATGTAAACACATCTTTTGCAAAATATTCCCAAAGACATTGTATTCCGTGTAGACTGCACCGTCATCTACTCTGATAGAGAAAGTGAATATTTCTTGGATTTTAGTTGGTTTAGATCGAGACCTGACATGATTTACACGGCATGCAAAATTAAAGAGGTCTGTGATGTAATCAGTGGTGCACATGTTAACGTTGTTGCCTGAAAGCTTTCATTTAAAATCATCAACACTTGTGGCACTAATCAATGTAGATATTGTGCCATTGTTGCTAATGTATATTCATTTCTGAGCATGTTGCATGCAACAAGTTCACAAGTTTACATGTGTAGATACAAGTAAACACTGTTGTGCCATTTGTTGCCAGACGCAATGGTATACATTTTGTGATTGTTGCTAATGTATATTCAATCCTTAGCATGTTGCATGCAACAAGTTCACATGTCTTGATTCAACGAAACACCGTTGTGCAATTTGTTGCCAGAGGCAATATGTGTGTAGTCAGGTGGTTTGTCAGATTCAGTATTAAAATGGGAATTTTGTCTGCAAGTGATAACATTTAGATATATATGAAAGTATATGTTTCAGTGCAAGCAACAAAATTAGAGAGAAGTATATATATATATATATATATATGTTTCAGAATTCAGTGCAAGCAACGTGAAGTGCTAAATCTGCCTTGTCATAGAATTGCGGTAAATTTGTACATTATCTTAAAAGTTAAGATATTGTGCATTTTGTGATATATACCAATGTACACCCATGTGTCAATAAGCATAGAGTAGAAAATATGTTATTCCAGTACGTGTTAAATTTCTTCAAGTGAACTACACATTTTGTTGCAATTTAGAATCAGAGAGATGCATTTTGCATGACACCTCTTGATTTTTACTGTAGTGTTGCCTCTTGTAATTCCAAGTTTTAGACAGGACTTATACCATCAGTATTTTATTTTAAAAGCGATTTCAAAAATTTAATTAGAGTTTGGATATTAGATATATAGTTCTTCAACTGTTATGCCTCTGTGTACATGTTCAGTATACATGCCAAAGTTGTGATTCAGAGTGATTTTTGGTACTCAACTTTACATGTCTGTGAATGTATTGTAGATAAATTAGAGCAGCCGGCTTAATCGTAGTATTCATATCTATATACATATATCATATTGCATTTGTATTTTTAGCTTGTATATTCATGTAACTAGGATAGGATGTATGCTTATAGTGACCTTTGCAGTTTTTTAATTTTCTTATGCATGAATTTTCATGTAATTAAATATTAAATGGGATTAGAGTTATCAAGTTCATGGGTGTTTTGGAACAGGTCCGACACTCATCGGAGACAACTTTCTAGATTTGGTGAAAGATTATACAAATCATGAGAAACTCAATCACTTTTTAATAATAGGAGCTCTTAAAGGGATCGTTTAACAATGTTAAATCTGAGATACACGGCCCTACGTGTTATCAGTGTCTGTGATATGGTGTAATATTGAAGCCCTAAAAAAATTGCGCTTCAAAATGATCAAAAAGTGCCTCAAAAAAGCAAAAATCTTTGAGTGACCGGTTTTACCATACTCGTTTTCCCCAATAGACTGTAGTGTTATGAAAACCGTCAGGCGAACGGTTTTCAAAATTTGTAATTCCAATCATAAATATCTTGATAATCAGACAGGCGATCGGCTTGTAAAAGTCATGGGCTCCTGACTGACCTTAAGGTTTATAATTATCATTGCATCATGAGCTAAATCCAGAATTTTATTTCAGAATCTGAGACAAAGTTACCGGATCCCTTTAAGCAGCCTGATTTTCTACTTAGTAGTGATGAAATGGGGATTGCATTAAATATCTTAACTGCACGAAGACAGATTTTTATCTCATCAATAAATTGATCAGGTAGAGGAGTTAATTGATCAATAAATCTATAAGATTTTGTTTATAAATATATCTTTGTCCAGTAAATATCTTGAATGTTCTACCTCTAAAAACATGTACATATACGTAGAAAAAGAAATAGGGGGTCAAATTTTCAGTCAATCCACCATAGAATTTTTCATTGAAACTGCCAAAGAAATTACTGTCTGTGAATTGTTGTGACTCTTTTAATATCCAGAAGCGATGTTCAGTGATTGCCTTGGCAGGCTTGTAACATAACTACGGTATTCAGATGTCTGTTGTTTTCTTTGTGTAATTTATGTGGTGTCATATGCTCTTGAAGTACTTAATAAGCATCTGGTGTCAAATAGTATGGTCTGTTTATGCTCCTTATCCCTTTCAGAAAAGGGACCTGTTAAGGGCTAAATTGATCCCATGTCATTCTTCAAATTGGCAACAGTAATATTTTTCTTTTAATGCTACATGTAATGAAATGTCTCTGAAAATAGTATACATGAGTAGAAACTCTTTTGAAAAGTTTAAAATTATGGCAAATTTTAAAAGAAAAACAATGATTTCATACCTATACAGTAGGCTTGTGGGTTTTGTGAAAAGAACTAATTTTTTACCAAACTAAGCCATTTATTATGGAACAACTTTTGTTTCTTCATCCTGTATATAAACAAGAAAACTAATTTTATTCAACAACCATGCAACTGGTTGCTTCAAGTAAATTTTATGTCAAATTATTTAATCAATTAAATGTATTCATGGTGATGTTTTTCTGATAGTCTCTGCAGTCTAATGAACGGATGTTTATGTTTGTTAGATGGCATTGTTGAAAATTAGTAAAACTTGTGCAATTTCTAATGACATGTCGTGCTTTTTACTGTGGACTTTGTATAGTCAGGAGAGCAGAGTAAACTTTATATTATTAACAGAAACAGAAAAAAGGGTTCACCCAAGTTTCAGGGTCCCAATAAGTTACATTCCAATTGGATATATTTGACCGAATACAACTCTATCTTATAGAACTCACGTTTTGTTTATCGCTCATTATTGCTGTGGTACAGTAAAGCAGATTTACAATAGAATCTACCTTGTAAGGGGTATAGCATGTACTGCAACAATGGAATACTTGAGCGCCGTAACGGCAGCCATGCTAAAGCCAGAGTAATGATAATAGAGCGCCAGGAGTGGCCATGTGCCAGACATGAGTGCTATATAAGACTCCACTATTATTATTATTAATTTACAGATAATACTTACTTGTGGTATACATAATGTCTAGAACAAAGGAAAAGTCTTTTCCTTTTGATCATTAGAACACTTTAAATAATTTCTTTCTAGGTATACACACACCAATCAGCCTGATTCCAAGCAGTAATGTTTTGTGACCTAGTCTCTGTTGTGATATACTTAATTTTGTTAATATGTGCTTTACAATTACATCATTTCATGTTGTGATGTTGGTGCAAAATTGTGTTGAGCGATCATTGTAGCTAAATTATTAACAAATACAATTATTTTATGTCTGAATCATGTGTTCTTTCTGAATGTATTTATAAGATTAAAACTGTTTGCATTGAATGAAGAAGGGGGTGATAATGGGAGAGCAAAGAGGACTGGAGTGTAACCGACGAAGAGAACGAAAGGAAAAGAGATAAGTGGGAAAGAGAAATATATATGGAGAGGAAGAGTGAGAGAAATATAAAGTGAGAGAAATATAAAGAGAGAGGGAGAAAAAAGAGGGAGAGATAGATAGAGGGGAGGGGGGGGGGGGAAGGGGGTCATGGTGTGACAATAATTTCACAAGATGAGATGAATAAATATACCATAGCATGAAAGCAATTAAAGTAGGCAACTTCACAACAACACACTGCAAAACATACTTCATATGAAATATGTACATTATATTTTATTCATCTTGCAAATTTGTTATAAATACCTACATTGACATGTATTGAATTGAGTGGTGAATAAAAAAAGAATCACTTCTATTAATGTGACCTATAAATATTACTAAAATATTGGATCTACAACTACGAGTCAAAAAATGCGTTCCTCATCAAAATTACACTAATATTTTGAGTTGTCATTTCCATTCCTGAAATTTCCTCAAAGAAAGAAAGGTAAAATAATAGATCATTGCATCAAAATTATTAAAAATCAAATCAAACATATTTCAAGTATCGTTCATCTAAATACACAGCACACATTCATTTCAAATGCTTATTATTTTTTTTTCTCCGTACAAACAGGAATGGGACAAAAGATAATTCGATATACAAATGCAACAGCCCTGTATAGACTGACAATACATACAAAATTGCATCTACTAACAATAATCTAATTATTAAAGTGTTGATTTCAAAACAGAGATGTATATTGGAGTTAAATTTTCAATTTAATTTCAACCATATCATTAAAGAAAAATATAACTTTTTTACACATAGACACCGCTAAAAGCATTAATACAAGTAGCACAATATATAAAATACAAATACAAAGAACTAATCATCTATTTGGAGCCAGAAGGGCATTAAACTGTATAAACTTAACACAGAGTTAATGCCCTTCTGGCTCTGAACAAACAAGTTATTAGTATTATGGCACAAATCAGAAAATGAGAGTATATATGGCAGTTATGATAAAAATGTTCAATTAATAGCAGAAAATGTTGGTAAAGGGCAAATGATTGTCTTGAATTTCTTATCCCGTTGTTTAGTGGCGTAGCACGAGTCCGGTTATTGAGAGGGCATGGGAACGATGGAGAGGGTGGCGGTTCAATTCAATTCAATTCAATTCAAATGAGGTTTTATTCAAGACTTGTCCAGCTTTATGTTGAAAATAAAATGTGATCCAGGTGCCTTCTCTTTATTGTCCTTCTCCCCTTCACCCTTTGTACCCTTTCTCTTTTTTCTCATTTTTACTCTCCTTTTTTTTGGGGGGGGGGAGGGCACTTGAAGTTTGACCACCGCTGTTGTTACATATTTCCTGGTCACTGCATGACACAAGATGACAAATAGATGATATATTCAAATGATAATCATTTGTATGCTTTTGCAGAAAAGAAAATGTACTTATATGAGTATTATTGTTGTTAACACAATTTCAAGTTTATCCCGCCTAGCAAAAATACACATCACTCCGGCGTGAAGACAAAGAACTAATTTCACTTGGTAAATTAGTTTCCAGCATCAGAATAATAAAGTGTGAATCGTATCTGAATTTCAGCACAAATAATCCCTTATTAAATTTGCATATTCACTGAGAAACTCTATTTGGAGCCAGAAGGGTGCTAACCCATACATTCTAACTCAGAGTTAATGCCCTTGTCACTAAAAAAAATTGTTTTAATTAATCTTTTCAACATGATCCCAATAGTAAAGGGAAAATTATCAAAGTTACAGTATAAGTAAAATACTTAGAGTAAAGTTAAAATTCATTATCAGATACCTAAAATTTAATAACAGTAAAAATAAATTAATTATTCAATAGCCATTAATCAATAATTTTGAATGAAAAATTGATAATTAAATGACGATCTATTAATAATAGATATAATAGAGGGTGTGCGCGCTGCTCTGTAGCAAACACAATTAGTTTCTGTTACCGTTTTTGTTCAACCAATGGAAAAAGAATTTCTGTTGTACGACAGATAAATCAATAAAATTAAATTCAAATATAAGACTCCCAGTGTCTCCTAACATTCTTTCATATGTTAAGTCTACCCAAGAAAGAGGTGTAATTCATGAGTTGAAAGCCAGAAGGGCGTTAACTTATATAATATAGCACAGAGTTAACGCCATTCTGGCTCTCAGCAGACAATATCATAAAGATGTCCAAATTATAATAACAAAACCTCAAATGTCATATCAAGCAGAGTTTTGAGAATGGGTA